TTGGCTCGATGTCATCCGTTTTAGTCTATAAGTGACTTAGCAAAGTCTTTGCCACAGCCGGACTGAGCCACAGACTCAACCAATTCTAAGAGACAGGAGTTGTACTGAAAAGGTAGTTACATGCAGACTTGCTTGCCAGCAAGATCTCCTCACCTGTTCACCTTGTTTGCCTCGTCGTCCAGGGATTCCGGGACTACCATCTTGTCCCTAGGAGACAGATGGATGGGTATGGTTTAAGGTTGGCGGTCGTTGTTTGTTCTTTTACATTTCTACTTCTACAGCAAATCAAGAACGAGAAATGCTGAAGGCTGAGTATTACGCATCGACGGAATTGGTATGGTCAAACTACCATGTGTGTGTATATTTAGCCGATAGTTTGAAAGAAGCTAAGGTGTGTATATAAGCTCTGCAAAAGAGTCTAACGTTTTGACACAATCTGAACTCCTTGATACTGCAAACACTCTCAATGAGCTTTGGATTAAAGGAATGAAGGTAAGGCAGGCATGAATCAATACTCCTGACGATTTTTCTACTGTGTAGAATTGTTGTTTAGCGAGACATTCCTAACATGGACACCAGAACCTATTTTATACATGTTTTGCCACAAACCCATTCAATTTTGGTGTATTTCAAATTGGACTAAACTGTTAAAAATCAATTAAAGGAAATACTGAACGGTTTAAACATGACCTTAATAGCAAAAATGTAAACTCAATGGCTGTATGAAATTTATCTATTATGGTGCACCTTTGGTCCAGGTAAACCGGGAGGTCCAACGCTTCCAGGTACACCATCAGAACCCTTATGACAAACAAAAGAACTTATCAGTCGATGAATATCTTTAACATAGAAAACAGTGATTTAAAAGTCTCAAATGGTAACGTCATCCTACCGATTGACCATCTTTTCCATCTGATCCAGGAAGTCCAACAGGTCCACGACTTCCCTATGTAAGCATATTCAACAGAAATAAGCAAAAGATAGAAGTCATAGAATATAAATAAGTAGTAAAGTGGAAACCTGTTGATTTCAGCGGGCCATGACAAGGCTGTGATCTAAGAAAAATTACGAGGAGCCCAAAGGTTCCTAACATGATGGCTGGTCTTTTTTAAGTGACGTCTTGACAGTCATATCACAGTTGCACTTCTACACAGATGTTCTTTAATAAGCATCCAGAGTGTTGATACAATGTTAAATATATAAAACTTTAATCAGTACATTCAATATTATCAGGATCCAAAACAAGAAACGAGAATAAACTGGGCTATATAATCCTTCTCAAAACAAAGGTCAATAATGAATGCGTATTTGGTTCGAGTGGCCGTATTAACGGAGTAAAATTATAAACGATTACTCAGGCTGGGATTTCAGAATGTGGACTTTGGCCGTATTAACAGGGTGACCGTATTAACGGGTTTTCTTAGAAGAAAATGTATGGGCGTTTCGCCAAGACAAAAGAGGGCCATAACAAAGAACTGACCGTATTAACGAGGTGACCGTAAGGCGGGGTTCCAGTGTAAATGAATGAATATTAAACGTCTTTGAGCTTAAAATACTTAACGTAACCCTCAGAGTGTAAAATACATGTTCACTCTCCCGTGAACAAGAACCATAAGATGCCAAAAACCATACAAGGCTACGTTGATACAACGCTAATCCTGATACAACACATCCTTAATAACAATAAAGAACAAATCTTGACTGAAATCACTTACTGGCTCTCCCTTACTGCCAGCTCTGCCAGGGCGGCCTGGGAGTCCCGGGACACCCTATTAAAACATAAGAACAAAAATAATAACTGAATTTGCTGTCTTTCTAAATACTGATTTTGGCATTTGTTATTTGAATTTTGCTACACAGTTGGTTCTTCCACTTGTCTGTTCACATTTTGCTCTCATGTTTCCTGCCTGGCTTACTAACAGACAGACTGACTGGCTGACTGACTGACAAACTGACAACATGACAGACTGACTGGCTGACTGAAAATATGACACACTAACAGACGGACTGAAAGACAGACAGACTGACTGACTGACAGAATGACTGGCTGAGCGACGGACGGACGGACTGACAGACTAACTGATTAACAGACTGACTGTCTGTCTGACTGACTAACTGACTGACTGACTGACTGACTGTTGCACTCACAGACTAACTGATTAAGACTGACTGACTGACTAACAGACAGACAGACAGACAGACAGACAGACAGACAGACAGACATACCGGCACTCCAGCTGATCCAGTTAATCCACGCTTCCCTTCAGGTCCTCTATCTCCCTACAGAGGATTGAATCACGTGCGCAGTGTATTAGATCAAAGGAAATACAATAGAAGTGTTATCATTCACTCGTAAAACGAAGGATTGCCACATACCGTTATTCCGTCATCTCCAGGTGGCCCATCATCACCAGCAAGTCCCACAGGGCCCTAACACAATTAAAACAACACAGATCAAAATCAGTACCACAGGGCCCTAACACAATACAAACAACAGACACCAAATTCAGTTTCACAGAACCCTAACCCAATTAAAACAACAATTATCACATTCGGCACTAAAGGGCCCTAACGCAATAACAACGACAGACATCGCATTCAGTACCACCTCGGACCAACAATGTTTGTAGTAGAACCTCACCTTTCACCTTTCCGACAAATAACCTTTTCTTGCTACTGACAACTGTGTCGCGCATGTATTTATTCTACTGCTGTGTTTCAATCAAGAAATTGGTCTCAGTCTTGGTCTTTACCCTGGTTAAACAGCCTCCCAAGTAGTCGCAAGTAGCCGCAAGTTGAACTTTCGTAGAGACTTAAGTTGGGTGGCCAAACGGACTCGCAAGTTTCCTCGCAAGTACACGCAAAAAACACTTCAAGGACTTGGGTCGAATTGCGGCAAATTTGATCTCGACCAAAGGGAGCGCAAGTCATCGCAAGTCGACGCAAGTGCAGGCAAGGAGGCGGCCAAACAGAGTAGAAAGTAGACCCAAGTTTTCAACTTGCGTCTACTTGCGAGTCTGTTTGGCCAGGGCTTTTCTTGGTTTATTAACTTCATTGAAATAATGGTCGTGAATAAAACAGAAACGGAAATGAAACATTACAATCATTTCAATACGTGTTTTCTATGGTGAAGTAAGCCAAACATTATACCACAACACTAGCTGATAGCTTTAACTAATGAACTGTGAGGCCTTCTGTGCCACTCGGCCATCAAAAACACGAGTGAGTGTAATGATCTTTATTTCAGTTACTTTACCGGTGCTCCCACAGGCCCCGCCTCTCCGACAGGTCCACGATTACCCTGCAAGGAGATACGTGTAACTACTGTTTAATTGGAATTACGCTCTTAAATCGTAACTTCTTTCATGTGTGATTTCATGTGTGATTGTGCGGTTTTTGATGACTGCTGGAAAACTATGAAAGCGATTTCGGAAACTCATTTATAATGAATCAAGTTTAAACAAAGGAAACCGCAACTGTGACGGTGTTTGGATATCTGATCTTAATTAGCATAAATTTCTACGATTTTATCTCTCCGTTTTCTCCTTAGTTTTAGTTTCGATTGAGAAGATATATCAAACACTCAAGAAAGTAATTCACCACATTTCCAAACACCTCGAAGCTCGTCAAAAATACTCTCCTGCGCGTCGTATTTTGACTCTCTTCTCTGTTTGGAAATATGGTAAAACACGGTCACTCGTGTTTGACTCGTGTGTTTCTTCTACTTAAGGGCGAGTCGCTGCAAAACCCCAAAATAACAGAAGGTAGTTTATTTTTTATTCTTATTAATATACGAGGTCTCACCACTTCGCCTGGTCGTCCATCTTTACCTCTCTCGCCTCGTAAACCCTGGTATACAAGATAACGCTTTGTTAACAAAATAACAAGAT